GGGCCAGGTTTGAACCCGCCAGCCTCGGTATATGGGGCCGGCGCCCTATCCACTGAACCACAGGCTCCAACTCTCAAGCTCAAGCAATCCTCCCACCTCAGCCTCCCAGAGTGCTATGATTATAGTCATGAGCCACTGCATGTAGCCAAAAATGTCTTAATTTTAAAAATTCAAATATTTAAAATTCAAAAAGTAATCCTAGCGCTTTGGAAGGTCGAGGTGGGTGGATTGCCTGAGCTCATGAGTTTGAGACCAGCCTGAGCCAGAGCGAGACCTTGTCTCTAAAAATAACCAGGAGTTGTGGCAGGCACCTCTAGTCCCAGCTCTCAGAGGCTGAGGCAAAAGGATGGCTTGAGTTAAAGTTCTGTGAACTGTGACACCACAGCACTCTACGGCACTCTACTGAGAGGAACAAAGTGAGACCATTTCAAAATAAATAAAATTCAAAAAGTACAGAAGGAAAAGAGAGAATGCCCTGAAATGGAAGTCTCCCTCTGGCCCTGCCCCCAACAGGGACAGCTGCTCCCTGCTGTACTTCCAGGGAAGGCCCATTCATATGCAAGTGTTTATGTGTATATGTATTTTTTTCTAATTTTAAATACAAGTGATAATGTGGTAGAATTTGAATCAAAAATAATCTCATATCATGCAGTATGTTCCAAAGGAGATGAGATGACCTACTAAAATAAACTTTAGAATGGGAGTAAATTTAGCAACATAGAAGGAAACCCAGTATGTATTGTTAAATGAAAAAGAGTTAGGTTCTAAAATAGAATGTATAGAGGGTTCTATTTTCTTTTTAAGTGATATTTTCTAAGTCTTACTCAAAAGTTTGAACTGTCACAGGCAAGAGGAGCCTATGCAGACGTGAAAACTTGAATGTAATGAGATGTTCTGGGTGGGATCCTGGGGCAGAAAATAGACATTAGGTAAAAACAAAGGAAATCTGAATAATATTCCATCATATGTATATACTAATATTATTCAGGCTTAAACAAAAAAGAGGTAATTCTGCAATATGAGACAGCCTGGGTAAATTTTGAGGACATTATACTAAGTGAAATAAGCCAGACACAGAAGGACAAAGGCTGTGGGATTCTAGCTCTCTGAGGAGTCTAAAATAGTCAGACCCATAGAAGCTGAAGAGTAGAATGGTGGCTGTGGGGGGTGGGGGGAACAGGGGAAAGGGGCATTGCTGATCATCATGTATAAAGGTTTAGGTATGAGCCGTTAAGTTCCTCTTACTTAGGAGGCTGAGGTAAGAGAATCATGTGGGACACAGGGAGACTGTTTCTAAATTAATAAAGAAATAAATAGTTTCACATATGCCAGATGAATACATTCTGGAGCTGTGCTATATAACCTAGTGCCCATAGTTAATAGTGTGGTACTGTGCATTTCAAAATCTGTTAAAAGGATAGATGTTATTTCAAGTTTTCTTACAACAATGAAATTTTTAAAACCAAGGAAATCTGAATAAAGTATGGACTTTATAGTTAATAATATAGCAGCAATACTGATGGCTTGGCGCCTGAGCTGGCGGATTCGAATCCAGCCAGGCCTGCCAAACAATGACAATTATAACCAAATAGCTGGGCATTGTGGCAGGTGCCTGTAGTCCCAGCTACTTGGGAGGCTGAGGCAAGAGAATTGCTTAAGCCCAGGAGTTGGAGGTTGCTGTGAGCTATGTGATGCCATGGCACTCTACCCAGGGTGACGGTGTGAGGCTCTGTATGTATTAAAAAAACAACAACATATATATATATCAATACTGGCTCAGCACCTGTAGCTCAGCAGTGAGGGCACCAGCCACATACACCAGAGCTGGGGGGTTCGAGCCTGGCCTGGGCCTGCCAAACAACGACAGTGACAGCCAAAAAATAGCTGGGCATTGTGGCGGGCACCTGTAGTCCCAGCTACTTGGGAGGCTGAGGCAAGAGAATTGGTTAAGCCCGAGAGTTTAAGGTTGCTGTGATTTGTGACACCATGGCACTCTACCCAGGGTGACGTAGTGAGACTCTCTCAAAAATACAAAAATAGGGTGGCGCCTGTGGCTCAGTGAGTAGGGCGCCAGCCCCGTATACTGAAGGTGGCGAGTTCAAACCTGGCCCAGTCCAAACTGCAACCAAAAAAATAGCTGGGTGTTGTGGTGGGCTCCTGTAGTCCCAGCTACTTGGAGGCTGAGGCAGGGGAATCACCTAGGCCCAGGAGCTGGAGGTTGCTGTGAGCTGTGATGCCACAGCATTCTACTGAGGGTGATAAAGTGAGATTCTGTCTCTAAAAAAAAACCCAAAAAACAAAAAACAAAAACAAAATAATAATATAGCAATACTGGTTCATTAATTGTATGTGACGAATGGACCATACTAATGTGAAATGCTAATACTAGGTAGTGGAGAAAACTGGGTGTGAGGGATCTGAGAACTTTTTCTGCCATCTCTGCAGTTTTTTAGTAAATCTAGAACCATTCCCAAGTAAAGAGTTTTGATTTGGGTTTTAGGTTTTGGTTCTTTTTGACAAATCAAAAAGGTCTCACTCTGTTGCCCAGGCTGGAGTACAGTGGTGACATCACAGCTTATTGCAGCCTCAGACTCCTAGGCTCAAGCATCCTTCTGCCACAGCCTCCTGAATAGCTCAGACTACAGGGTGAGCCACTATGCCTAGCCCAAAACAAAGTTTGTTTAAAAATAAACTATGGATGGACAACAGAATGTTCTCTTCAAATGGTAGGATCACATGTGATTTTCCCTCCTTTGATCTTTGCTTTCCAAGTATTTTACAGTAAACATGTATTACTTGTGTAATAAATTAACAACAAAACATTGTGGCCCTCCTGGTGGAGGGTTTCAGGCATACCCATACCTCACAGTAATGCTGTGAACACCCAGGTGCTCAAAGGCCCAGCAGCTGGGAAGGGGCTGCTCTCTCCACACAGACGCCAAACAGAGGCCACAGGAGACTGTAATCCATTAACCTGCCCTTACCTCAGAGGATAATCCCAGAACTGTACTTAAAAAGAAAAAAAAAGGAAGAAAAATCCTTCAGTTTAAAAAGTTAAGTTTTATAAGTAGACAAAGTTAAATGTTCTGTCAATGTGTGAGAAAAAAGTTGTACATTTAATATATGTTCATTGTAGAAAAATGAGAAAGTATATATACTCTGAAGAAGAAAGTAAAAGCACTGGCCTCTACTGCTCAGGGAAGACAACTTTTTACATTTTTGGAGTTTATCCTCCCAGACTCAAAAAATTCACATATATACAGTATAAATGCAGTATGTGTGTACATATAACAGTTTACAAAATCGGATCACACAGTGTGTGGGATTTGGCAGTTTGCTGTGCCACCTGATCTGCTTTCTAGGTTGGATAAATATACATCTACCCTGTCATCATAAATGACTGTATTGTATTCCCGTATACTGTTCAACTATAAGCTGTTTGATTAAAATAGCTCTTGCTAAATACAGGGATTTCCTCCACTCTCTGATTTTTAAATTATTGAGCAGGTGTTTATGGAGCTCTGCTGTGAAATCGAAACCATTCTGGGCTGTGAAAACCCAGCAGTGCAGGCATAGCCCTGGCCCTGCCCTCAGAGCACATGCTGTAAGGTAGCCAGGAGGTGATGACAATACCTCCCTTGCAGGGAGGTTGTGAAGGCTGAGCAAAGACACCTGTGTAGCTACACTGAGCACATGGCCAGAGTGCTGCTTAATACTATAGCGGGGGCCACCATGGGTGTCAGCATCCACTGTTGGGGCTCGGGAGAGTACTGAGCCTGCTCACATACCTTCAGGGCTGTTTCAGGACTGCTGCCCCATCACCCTTCTATCCTTTCTCCCAGTCCTGACCGTGCTCTCTCCCTCCAGGGCTGGACATCCACTTCATCCATGTGAAGCCCCCCCAGCTGCCCTCTAGCTGCAGCCCGAAGCCCTTGCTGATGGTGCATGGTTGGCCCGGCTCTTTCTACGAGTTCTATAAGATTATCCCATTCCTGACTGACCCCAAGAACCATGGCCTGAGTGATGAGCACGTTTTTGAAGTCATCTGCCCTTCCATTCCTGGCTACAGCTTCTCAGAGGCATCGTCCAAGAAGGGTATGAGGGCTGTGGAGTCCTTGCCACTGATGTGTCCTCACCCTGTGTGGACCACTGTCCCACTGGGTTCTCATGGGGGAATGGTCAGGGTTGGCCAAAGAAGCAAGGAAAGGAAAGGTCTGAAAGGAGTTTTTGTTGTGTGAAAGGGCCAGAATTTTAGAGCTTGGGGGAGCTTTGTGAGCAAGGGACTTCAGTGCTGGTCAGGGCCTGGACTCTTGTGTTCTTTGCTCACTCAGGAGCACATCCTCCTCTGGGCCCTAGACTGTTCAGGCCAGTGAGGCCAACCAAGGTTGCATGAAGCCCAAAGACATTTCACAGGGGCCAGCAGGACTGCTGCTGTCTCCTCACAGCCGCCTCCAATGAGGCAGGGACCACGCACCCTGCCTAATGGGACTGGGGCCCCCATGCCCACGTTTGGCCCCAGGACTCGTTTTTGCCTCTCGTGAGCTTTTCTCTCCTCAACCTGGGAGAGACATGTCTGAGGAATTTCACAGGGCACCTGAGAGCCCAAGGAACGACTTCCCTGTGATTCCAGTTTTCTTTCCTCTTTACAACTAGGGTTTGATTCAGTGGCTACTGCCAGGATCTTTTATAAGCTGATGCTGCGGCTGGGCTTCCAGGAATTCTATATCCAAGGTGGGGACTGGGGCTCCCTGATCTGCACCAACATGGCCCAGATGGTTCCCAGGTGAGGTCATTTTCAGGGGGCGGTGCTGTACAGCCTCTAAGAGGTGGGCCTCTGTTCAGGGTGGGTTACTGGCCACCCAGGGGAGAAGAGGGAGGTTCCCTGTCATCAGCTGTGTTTGGGGCTCTTAGACTCAGATCCCCTATTTGATTTAACATGGGGTTGTAGCCCTGGGCCAGGTGCCTAGCAGAGAGGCCAGTGAGGGGAGATGAAGATCAGGGATTAGAACTTTCTGATGGGCCAAGCTCTGAGAGAGTCCTGACTGGAACTTTTTAGAAACTGTATTTTTCCCTCCAACCTCCCTACTCCACCTCTTGAGACCGCCCCAGGAGGCCAGGCACTGAGCAAGGCTGGCACCATGCTTGGCCCCCGCCCACCTTTCCTGGGCCCCTCTCTCTGCCCTCAGACGCGTGAAAGGCCTGCACTTGAACATGGCTTTCGTCTTAAGAAATTTCTTCATCCTGACCGTTCTCCTGGGACGTCGTTTTGGGGGACTTTTTGGCTACTCCAAGAGGGATATAGAGCTGATGTACCCCTTCAAGGAGAAGTTTTTCTACAGCATAATGAGGGAGAGCGGCTACATGCATATCCAGAGCACCAAGCCTGACACTGTGGGTGAGTGCACTTGAGCAGTCTGCTTGGCTTTCCTTCTTTACAGGGTGGGGATACCTCACCTTCCGCCGGGACACTGATCATGGGATAAAGCTCCTTGTAAGGAACGTTCACCTCTTCTGATTATTAAAATGCATTTTCCTGTAGAAGCAAGTTTATGGATGGCCATCACATTCCCAGGCTCATCCAGCAACTCTGTTGAGCTGACTCAATATCCAGAGTGGCTTCGGCCCCTGAACCTGAGTCCTAGACTAAGAAGCAGTGGGATGGAGGCGGTGAGGGTAGGAGGAATCCCGGGGGGCTGGCAGCTCTGGGGCTACAGGAGGAAGAGGAGAGGATGGGGCCAAGTTCCCTATGACAGTGATGGAGGGCCCAGCAATCATTTCTGCCACCAGGGTCCTGTTAAAGGATAATTTTTAAAAAGATGAAATCATGACTCTTATATGAATATAAAATATTTGAGCAGTTGTCAAATATTTTATGTAACTCACTAACTTAAAAAAAGAACCAATGAAATGTTAAAAAACAATTAGGAACACTGAAAATAATTTGCTGATAAATGTAAAATTTGTCAAAATCCACAGAGTAAACAGTTAAATTGCCAGTGGACAAAATTCACTTGCTTCTCTATGAACAAGTATCATGTGCATGACTATCAGTTTTTATAATCCATGGAGCTATAAAATAGCTCGAAGGCAAGGAAGGATGGGATCCATATAGAATCAGACAACTCTGGAAGGTCCACTAGATAACTCCCCACATCCCATGCAGAGGACACCCAGGGATCATTTTCCTTGTGTTGAAGCCTATAGATTTTGTGGTAGTCCACGCTCACACACACACTTGAGGCAGCTCACGACCATAGTAGTGATTTTTTTTTTTTTGCAGTTTTTGGCCAGGGCTGAGTTTGAACCCGCCACCTCCGGCATATGGGACCAGCACCCTACCCCTTTGAGCCACAGGTGCCGCCCCATAGTAGTGATTCTTTACAAAACCAAGTTTTGTTGGTCTGATTATAAAATACATGGTCCTTGTAAAAAATTTTTTAAATGCCAAGAGCACAAAACAGAAAAGACATCACCTATGGCCTCTCCTCCCTCCCCACATCTCTGCTAACATTGTGGTGAGGTGTATGAATTTTCACAGCTGAAATACCCAGGATGGCTTCAACGCCCCAGGTGGCCTTTGGTGCCCTCTTTCCCACCTTCCTGGCTTTGGACAGATAATGGGCTTTGCCTGTTTTTACTCATTCTGTGTCTAGAATCATAATCTCTCAAGTCTGGCGTCTTTGCTCTGTATCATGGTTGGGGGATTCACGGATGCTACCGTCCCAGTCTTTTTTAATGACTACACAGTATTTTAGCTTATGGATGTACCAGTATTTATTTGTCACTGATCTATTTTAGACTTTTGAGTTCTCATTTTTCACAAGTCAGCGGTTATAGACTAAAAATCCCCACCTTTTTAGAAACAGTATTCATATATACTTCTCATCTGGAACTCACCAAACCTGGGGTACAGACCCTTCATTTTGAAGGTAGCTATACATATGCTGTGTGAATCCTGTGAGGTGGCAGGAAAGTGGTGTCTCTGTTTATCAGATGCAGGTGCCTAGGCCGAGGGTCAAGGAAGTGTGGTGCTTGAGCACCAGGAGTTAGGGCAGGGCCATGCTGAAACGTGGGCTCTCTGTCACCATGCTGCCGTACTGCAGGGCCAGCTTCACACCTCAGTCCTGCTGGCCTGAGTCACTTCCTTACTCCTTCCCATGCCAGGCTGTGCTCTGAATGACTCTCCTGTGGGGCTGGCTGCCTATATTCTAGAGAAGTTTTCCACCTGGACGAATTCAGAATTCCGGAACCTGGAGGATGGAGGCCTGGAGAGGTGAGACCCCCATTCATTCACCCCTGCTGTCAGGACCCTGGTCCCAGCAGCCACCTTCCTCACCACCCTCTTTGTCCTTGTCTCTGCATGGGGTGCTAAGCAAGCTTTGTTGTTGCCTTTCTCATAGGCCCTCCCCCTGTGACCAGGGGAGCCCCATTTTTTGGATGTGGGGGTATAGTGACTATGCTCCCAGCTTCACAGTAGGGAGCTGGGATTAGAATGCAGGGCTCCACTGCCTGTGCTCCTGTTGCTCAGCAGACCCTGCTGGGTCAGGGAGTCCACAGGGTGGTGGGTGCTCCCTATTGGCAAGAGTGCCCAGGGACTCTCTCCATGAACCCCTGGAGAGGTTGGCATCGGGGCCATGGGACCGTGTGTTCCCAGAGAGTAGCTGCCAAAAGACTGGAAAGGCTATCACATCTCCCACAGTCTCAGTGGCCGTAGCCCCTGCAAAATGTGAATCAAAGCCCCCTGGCCTGTCTTGGGCTTCACCAGGGTCAGCTGTGACCCACCTTCTCCAGGGCCCCTCCCTTTCTCTATTCCTTCAGTGACACACGGAGGACCAGACAGTGCTGGGGATGGGAGACAGGATCCCACTCTGGGGGTAGGGGCTCCATCTTAGCTATGCTCTAGCCCCAGACCTTAGAACAGTACAGGCTATCGTGGGTGCCCAATAAATAGATTTTGAATGAATGAGCTACGTGCAAAGGACTGTGGGAGCTCAGAGGAAGGAGGATTCACTTTGTCTAAGGGGCAGAGAGAGGAAATGCCTGGGAGAGAAATGCTGGATAGAGAAAGGAATTTAGGCAAAAAGAAAACCAATAAAAAATGCAAGATGTGCTTAGAAAGAGTAACTGTCCAGAGGCTGAAGCCAGTACATTTGGGCCAGACTGAGCACTCATTTCAGCAGGCAGCTCCTTCACAGGCCTCAGCAAACCCTTCCTCTGAGAACTGTTTCCCCTTCCCCACATTCAGCAGGATGCAGGGGTTTATGGAACTCCTTTAGACTACCTAGGCAAACAGTCTGGCCTGCTCCATGCACACAAATAATAGGAGCCGGTTGTGAGCCCTACCAGACTGCCCCTAAAAGCTTTGAGTGAGATACACAGGATCATATCTGTCTTCTAGAAAGAACAGTAAGTAGGTTAGAAATGGTGCTGTAATAGTTTTCAAGCTGAGGTCATGTCACAAGCGGGTGCAGTGAAGGGGAGTGAACCAGAGTGGAATTGGTGGGGAATGAGGAAAATACAGCACAAGAGAAGACACGGAAACAAAGGATGGGACCTGGGGACTGACTCAGCTGATGGTGATGGCTACAGCCAGCGTCAAAGCACAAAATCAGCTTTATTTTATAGTATCTGTACAGGCTTGTCCAGGGGGGAGTAGCATAGACAATATGGGGAAATGCCACAAACAAAAGACATAGTTTTGGTCTTACAGTACAATGGAAAATGTAAATGACTTTAACAAAGACAAACCATCTGGTTAATGGTTTTCACTCAGCTTCCTAATGTTCTTGTTATATGACAAGAAGTAAGAAGGGAAAGATCTGCGATCTCAGCATAGTTAACAAAACAAAGGAAGAACTGTGTGACTTAGTGGGTACTACTGAACTTTGTTAGCATATGACAAGGAGATAGAAGGGCGAGATCTCAGTCTCTTCATAGCTGACTAGACAAAGAAAGGGCTATGTGATTTCCAGCAGAGGGAGCTTGAAGAAAGAATATGGCTGTTTGGGGAATGGAGGAGAAGCAGTTGGGGGTTCATTCTCTGAATGTTCCCCAGGCTGGGGGGCCCTGCCAGTCTCACAGCCTGCTCTCCACAAGGTCAGAGCCAAAGGAGATATGGAGGCACTTGTCCAGCTTACAGAAAGCCATTTCACAGAGTTTGCAAGTTTATTCACATTCTAGTTTTTGTTGACTGGTTTTCATTTTGTCAAAATCACATTTAAAAGGATGTTCACGTTACTTCTGTTGTGCCCGAAATTCCCCCAAGTGGCCCCAACAGACAGTCCGAGACTCACTCAGGTGTAAAAATCAAGAGGTGAGTTTTATTCAGGCCCAGGCCTGGACTCTCCTGGCATGCAAGCCGAGGATGAGCCCCGAACCTGGGGTGTGGAAGGTTTTTGTTGTGCCTGGATTTTTCCCGATCCCCCAAGAGTTAGTCTGAGACACACTCCGATGTAAAGATCATGAGGCAAGCTTTATTCAAGCCCAGGCTTGGACTCTCCTGGTGAACACACCGAGGAAGAGCCCCGCCCCCAGAGGAGCAAACAGTTTTTATAGGGTACAGAAAACAAGAAGGGGAGGGGTAAAGTACAGGTACAATTTTGATTGGTTGCTAGGGGCATGGGCAGATTACAGGTTAGGCATTAGCTCGTGATTGGGCATAGGTTTCCCGCCATGGGGTGGTGCTGTCTTTGGGATGGATGGGGGACTTTATGCTGACTCATTGGGCCTAAGATGGCAGTGGTGGCCGTCATTAAAATGGTGTTGGCTGGGCTCTCACATTTTTATGGGGTACAGAAGGCAAGAAGGGTAAGGTCAGTTACGGTTACGCTTTTGATTGATGGTTGATGATTTCATTAGTACGGGGAGGATTTGGATTGGTACAGGTAGAAGGGTGGTGGATTTTCTAACTGGGGGCCTGAGGTGGTGCCGCCTGATTGGGTAGTTGAAGGGGGGGAATACCTGAATTTTAAGGAAGTAGAAATCTATTGCCTATTATGGGAGCTGTTCAAGGAAACTGAAACTTATTGCCTATTATGGCAGCTGTCTGCCTAAGGTGACTTAATCAACGGCTCAATGGCTGTGCAAGCAGGGGTGGGGGAGGCAGCAGGGAGTGGCCCTGCCGGTTTACCAGCGGAGGTTGGGGTGGAGGGGCTAGGAACAGAGCTTATGCAGTAAACAACAAAATGGCGCTGGTCTGGCCCTTACACCTCCGTGCCCACTGCTGTTGCCAGAGATCCAGTATTTCAGAGGGGAGGGATTAAAGACTGAGAACACATTCTTTTTTGTTTGTTTGTTTTTGGCCGGGGCTGGGTTTGAACCCACCACCTCCGGCATATGCAGCCGGTGCCCTACTCCTTTGAGCCACAGGCACTGTCCAGAACACATTCTTTTTTTTTTTTTTTTTTGAGACAGAGCCTCAAGCTGTCCCCCTGGGTAGAGTGCCCTGGCATTACAGCTCACAGCAACCTCCAACTCCTGGGCTCAAGCAAGTCTCCTGCCTCTGCCTCCCAAGTAGCTGGGACCACAGGCGCCCACCACAACGCCCGGCTATTTTTTGGTTGCAGCCGTCATTGTTGTTTGGCGGGTCCGGGCTGGGGATTCGAACCTGCCACCTTAGGTGTACATGGCTGGCGCCTTAGCGGGTTGAGCTATAGGTGCCGAGCCCAGAACACATTCTTGAACATGGAGGTGTCTTCTGAGTATATTCTTAATTCCTGGGAAGCCTCTTTTCCTGCACATCCTTCATGCATTCACCTGTAATAATAACACTTCTCCCTGCCCCTCCTTTGCCCCTCAGCCTCCCCCTTTTCTGCTCCTCTCTCTAGTTGCATAAGTTGGTCGCAGGGCAGGGGTGAATCAAACATTCCTTAAAATGTGATTCCAAAGATAAAAACATAATTAACAAACTGCATCTAAATGGCTGAAGCAAACTGGCCATTTTGGTGAATTGGTTTCTGGTGACTCAGAAGCCCAGTGCTGAGGGGCCGGGTGAGAGGACCAGCACAGGTGTTCTCTAACTCAGGCAGCAGTGACAGGCACAGGCCTCACTCAGGATGGATGGGGTGGGATGGAGGATCCAGGGAGCTTGGTGGAAACAGGGAGAGGGAAGACATCATGGTGATGTTGTGCCCGAAATTCCCCCAAGTGGCCCCAACAGACAGTCCGAGACACACTCTGATGTAAAAAGCAAGAGGTGAGCTTTATTCAAGCCCAGGCCTGGACTCTCCTGGCATGAAAGCCGAGGACAAGCCCCGAACCTGGGGTGGGGAAAGTTTTTATGGGGTATAGAAAGCAAGAAGGGTAGGGTTGGATACGAGTACACTTTTGATTGGTGGTTGATGATTTCATTAGTAAGGGAGGATTTGGATTGGTACAGGTTGAGGGATGGGGGATTTCCTAACGGGGGGGGGGGGGCCCTGAGGTGGTGCAGCCTGATTGGGTAGTTGAAGGGGAATACCTGAATTTCAAGGAAACTGAAACTTAAACTTAGTGCCTAATATGGTGATGTTGCTCTAAGTGGTGACTTAGTGCCTAAAATGGCAGTAGCCCAGTTATTGCTGCACTAAGGTGGCTTAATTAACAGTTGACAGTTGTGCAACCAGGGATGGGGGAGTAGCAGGGAGTGGCCCTGAGGGTTTACCAGCGGAGGTTGGGGTGGAGGGAGGTGGAGGGTCTAGGAACAGGGTTTGTGCAGTAAACAGCAAAATGGCGCTGGTCTGGCCCTCTCAGTGACTTGGTTCTTAGCTTGGCTGCCAGGGTGTGGAGATGCCATTCATCCATCCAGGGAGTGGAGGACAAGAAGGTAGCCTCTGTGTGTGTGCACATGCATGTATGTACTCGTGCATGTCTGAGCATGCATGTGTGGTGTGGTGTTAGGGGAGGCACTGAGCTCACTATTGTCATGGATGTGTTGAGTGGGAGATTGCTGGCAGGATGTCTAGGTGGAGATGTCTGCTGGGAAACTGATCCCACATCTGGAGCTCAGGTGAGGGGTCGAAGTGCAGGAAGGGACTTCCACTGTGTTCTTGGTAGAGTTAATGGTTGGAGTCATGGTGCAGATCTCAGAGAAAATGTGGACAGCCCCATCCAAAGATGCTGAGGAAGGCTTACTGGCTATAGAAGGAGGGGAAGGGAGAGAAGGAGAGTGTGCTTGTCTAGGGGGACAGAAACTAGTGAGAATCCCCCACCTACAAGGTCTTGGCAGCAGTGGCAACTCAGTATGAGGGGTTGAAGAGGGACAGGAGGAGAGGTCAGAGGAGCATGGAGAGGAGATAGGTGGAGGGAAGACCCTGGAGAGACAAGAGGGACTACGTGGGCAAGGTGTTTGCGGACAGTGGGTGGAGGACGTGACTGACAAAGTCAGGCCCAAGGCAGCAGGTGGAGGGATCCAGCCCAAGACAAGTGGCAGCACCTCTCCTAAGCTGAAAAGCCTAAAATCAGGCAGGGAAGGATGTGGGGAAAATTGCTGCCTGTGGGACTTAAGAAGTCCTCAAAGAGGGTTGCAAGGAAGGCGGGGGGCAGAGAAGGGGGCCACATGGCCATCAGGAGCCTCTGGGGCAGTGGCAGTAGAGCTGTGAGGACATAGATCTATGACAGACTTGGCAGCAGGGCTGGGAGTCCTCCAGCTCTGTGGACAGTCAGGTGGTCAGGGGATGGGATGGGGCAGAAAGCCACAGGGCACTGATGGGGTGAGTGTCATGAAAGCAATAGCCAAACCTGGCAGGGGCACAAGATGTGACTCGAGAGGGTCAGGGAGCATGGGCAGTTAGGTACTCCTAGGAAGAAGGGCTAGAGCCTGGTGAGGTAGAAGATGGAGCAGGCAACTTCCCACTGAGCCGGCTATCATATTAATGGCCCTGGATTTTTTTTTTTTTTTTTTTGAGACAGAATCTCAACCTGTTGCCCTGGGCTGAGTGCTGTGGCATAACAGCTCACAGCAACCTCCAACTCCTGGGCTCAAGTGATTCTCCTGCCTCCTCCTGCCAAGTAGCTGGGTCTACAGGCACCTGCCACAATGCCCGGCTATATTTTGGTTGCAGCTGTCATTGTTGTTTGGCGGGCCCAGGCTGGACTCGAACCCACCAGCTCAATATATGTGGCTGGCGCCTTAACAGCTTGAGCCACAGGCGGTGAGCCAATGGGCATGGATTTTGTACTGCATTTTAGCTTCTTTAACTATTTAACATGTGAACTCCCACATGTTTACCAGAGGAGAAACGGGCACAGAGTACACAACTGCCAGAGTCCCAGGGCTCCTGGTCCCTTTATTCCCTGCCTTCTCAGCTCATTGACCCCCTACAAGCCTGCCTTCTCAGCTCATTGACCCCCTACAAGCCTGTGTGAGGGGCTCTGAGGGAGACTCAGAGGCTGGGTCTTATTCCTGCATCTGAGAATTCCAAGTCCAGGCTGCCTCTGATGTGTGCCAAGTTCCTTGGGATTCTGAGGAGTGAGAAATTCATTGCCCTGGAGAAACCCAGGCTTCAGAACTGGGCCTGGCTGGAGAGTGAGGCTGGGGGTGTATGCTTCTTGGACCCAAATAAAATAGAGATGATAATGGCACCTGTGTCTCATAGGTTATTAAGAGGAAGAAATGAATTAAATGCACGTATGGAACTTAAAACATGCTGCCTCACATGTGGTCAGCGCTCTGCATTCCCTGTCACCATAGCAGCTGGTGCTCTGGACCAGCCTGCCTGTGGCATGGGGACAATATCACCCATCTTGCAGTGAGGTCTGAGCAGGGAAGCCAGATGGGCAGGGCCTAGCACTTGCACACAGCCTGAAAACGGTAGCTCTCTGTCTGTCATACAACTGCATCAGACCCTAGGAGTGGAGCTTTGTGTTCTGTTTACACAGGAAGTACTCCCTGGATGACCTGCTGACCAATGTCATGCTCTACTGGACAACGGGTACCATCGTCTCCTCCCAGCGCTACTACAAGGAGAACCTGGGCCAGGGCTTGATGGCCCATAAGCATGAGCGGTGAGCCTGACCCAGCCCGAGTGTGGGCCTCTGGTGCAGAAGGCAGGGGCATGGCTAGTCTTTAACTCAAGGGAGGGCATTTGATAGCAGGATGACAGCCTTGTCTGTGGTGTCACAGGGGGCCTTTGGATGAGGACACTAAAAGTCTGGGGTATTTGGAGAAATCCCTGTGTCTTCAGAGTTGCACATGGACAGAATACCAGCCCTGGCTCTACTTGTCCCTCAGAGCCACGTGTGGCCCAGGGTGCGGGTCTGCTGTGGTACTGGTGGTTCTGGGATTTCCAGATCCCACATGGGGACCTTAGGTGGCAGCAAAAGGAAAGGGAACGTAAGTGGAGTTAGAGGCCCATGCCCCTGCCTAGGTGGCCCTCACAGGAAAGAGAGGGTCCTCAGTGGGTTGGAGGGGAGAAGACAGTTAAACCTGAGTCTGTCCTTTTCTTTATGGCTTCGTGTGGGTAGGCCAGGTGACCCCACCCCCAAGCCCTTGAGCCCCCAACTATGGTGACGAGAGGGGTGCGGGGCCACAGCCTCACCCCTCCATGGGATCTATTTCTTGCAGCATGAAGGTCCACGTGCCCACCGGCTTTGCTGCCTTCCCTTCTGAGTTATTGCATGCGCCTGAAAAGTGGCTGAAGTTCAAGTACCCGAAACTCGTCTCCTATTCCTTCATGGCCTGTGGGGGTCACTTTGCAGCCTTTGAGGAGCCAGAGCTGCTTGCCCAGGACATCCGGAAGTTTGTGTCAGCGCTGGAGTGGCAGTGATTCCCATCCCATCCCAGTGCCCTCCCAGCTTTTCCTGGGGAAGGCACCCCTTTTTCTGTGGAGTTTCCCCCCATTCCCTGCCAGTACTAGGAGCCCACACTCACCAGCCCCCCCCCAATACTCCCATGGTAAGCAACATAACTTTGAGATAAATGATTTCACTTCTAAGTACAGCTGGAACCAAGTGACATTTGTGTGCCGTGGCCCCTTGTGGGCCCTCCCCTCCAGAGCTGAGCTGGCAAGTGTGCAGTCTGTGTTGGAGGAGGGCTGCCCTCTGCTGGCTGGAGGCCACACTGCATGAGGGTGATCCCCAGAGGACCAGTGGCACCAATGGTCACCCCTTCCCAGTGCCAGGCATCTCAGAACAGAGGCCTCATAGTTCAGGGACCCCTGGTTTAGGTCCTACCCCTGGGGTAGGTCAGTGAGGGGCCCAGGGTGTGAGAAGCCCAGCCAGGCCAAGGGATAAGCACAGGCAGGTCTACAGAAGGCCACGAGGACCCCACCATGCCCTGTCCCCGTTGGAATGGAAGGAGCTCCAGACTCCTCTCAGGCACTCCATCTTCCCCAGTCTGCCATGCTGGCAAGGGCCTTGATGCCCCCTGGAGGCAGCAAGGGGGAAGCTTATTGGACATAACCCAAAGTTGCATCCCAGCCCCACTGTCTCACCAGGAAGGAAAAGGCCTGTCCTTCCTGCCAAAGTCACCACTGTTCAAGGACAGTGGGACAGCCCAGATACCTCTTTTCCTCCTGTCCTCTGCACCAGCCAAACTGTCTACTCTTGCCTCCAAGGAGGCCCGAGCCCTGCCCCTCCATGCTGGAGAGGGCAGGCACAGATGAAAGCCAGACAGAGCCTGCCTGGACCTGATAGAACTACAGAGGCCAGGAGAACTGTATCTACCTGGTGGGTCCAGTGTGCACTTTATTCGTGGTCCACTTTGTCCTCTTTGACCCTGACCCAGCCAGAGTGTCCCTGGCAACATGACACAAAAACACAGAACCACACAGGGTGTGGAGGTGTGTGTGTGGCTGGTAGGAGCCACTGTAGGGAGCACTGGCAGCTTCTGCCCTACTCATAACTCAGCCCCGGGACCCGGGTGGAGGGCTCCGGGCTGGACTCCCACTTAGACGCCACATGACGGTGGGAATACCGCAGGCTCTTTGGTCATCAGTTAGCTGTGTGTGTGCTACACAGCATGGGCAGTGTTTGGTGCTTAGAGGAGGCCTGTCCCCTGTTCTCCAATTCAATCTCAGGGTTGATCAGTCTGAGGGACAAAGTCCAACACATGGTCTTGACTACAAACCACTGGGGAGATCACCCCAACTCCACAGCCAGAAGCCTGTGTGTGTGTATTGGAGGGATTGGGAAACACGCAAAGCTGCAGGTAGGTGAGCACAGGAGCTACACGTACTCCCCTCACAGCTGCTATCACCAGCACCCAGTGGCTCTGAGCTGGCAGTTTCAGCCCTTTCCCCTTCAGCCAAAGGCCCAAGTCCCTGGTCTTTCTGGTTCCATCATTTCATAGCAGCAGGGCTTAAAACAGATGGAAAGAGGTCATGGGGTTGGTTGGGGCTAGTCCAGCCACTTCTCCACATGTGTCTCCTGGGCTCCTGTGAGCCTGGCCCACCCTCAGGCCTCCTGGTAGGCAGCAGCCATACTGTCCGCAGGGCTCTGGGCCAAGTGCTCTCCAGGGAGAGTCCCACTGATGTTGTGGATGGCACCATAGGTCTGCTGCTGCTGTGGGGACAGGGCTGTCTTCTCTGAGGCCAAGCCATTCAGAATCCGAGGCACATAGGGCTGTCAGCAAATGGGGGAGTTAGTGCTTGGGTGGGGGGCAGGCATGGGATCCCATAATCCTTCCCCCTCAACCCCTCCTTCTTTAATCAGGACAACAGACAGTGCTTGTAAATACGTGAAGAAACATCAGGCTGGGTGTGGTGGCTCATGCCCATAATCCTGGCACTCTGGGAGGCCGAGGTGGGTGAGTGGATTGCCTGAGCTCAGGGGTTCGAGACCAGCCTGAGACAAAGCGAAACTGCATCTCTAAAAATAGCGGGGCATTGTGATGGTTGCCTGTAGTCCCAGCTACTTGGAAGGCTGAGGCATGAGAATTACTTGAGCCCAAGAGTTTGAGATTGTAGTGTGCTATGATGCCATGGCACTCTACCAGTGGCAACAAAGTGAGACTCTGTCTCAAAAAAAAAAAAAAACAACCAAAAAACCCAGTAATATCAACTTAGGATGTCAGAACCCAAAAGATGCCACCTGCAGAACTTCCAGCAGCCAAGGCAAAATATTGTAATTCCACAGCTCTCAGGATAATATAGAAAGAAGCATAATAGAGAAGTTCCCTCTGTTTCTCAGAGGAAATGAAATTGCCTAGCACTAGATCCTGGGAACATTTCTCACTTAATAACAGGAAATAAGTCTGTCTACATAGGCAGGCTTTAGATGAGTCAGTGGGACTTCTGGGATGCTGAAGGAATCTGAATTTCCTTTCCTTCCATTCCTTCCCAGACCCAGGCTGAGAATGGAGGCTTCACCTCATGCACCTTTCCCCTTGCCTGGCTGGCATGGCCACAGGTGTTGTCTCTGGGTAATAAGCCTTTCTAAGGACCTTCTCTGGAACTTGTGCAAGGACAGGCAGATAAGAGTCCCTGACACCTGGTGTGTGTGTGTGTGGGGGGGGGGGAGCCACTGGGAAGAACACTGCTGCTGACCCTGGCTGTTGTCGCGGCTTTATGTCTGTTCAGAAGGCCAGCAGTTACAGCTGGGATCCTGTGGCTCTGTTTTCCTTTTCCCAACCCCACCCTGGGAGCAGGACCCTGAAGGCTGCAAGCAAGAAGACCAGGGAGGGAAGGTGTCCTGGTGTCCTCCTACCACTGCACCTTCCTCTGAAGCAGGCAGGCACAATGTTCATTTCTTGAATTTAGGGGAAATTTTTTTTTTTCCTGTTTGTTTTTTGAGACAGTCTCATTCTGTCATCCTAAGTTGAATGTTGTGGCCTCATAGCTCATAGCAACCTCAAACTCTTGGGCTTGAGTGATCCTCATGCCTCAGACTCCGAGTTGGGACTAAAGGCACCTGCCACAAGGCCTTACTAGTTTTTCTATTTTTATTCGAGATTGGGGGTGAGGGTGTCTCATTCTTGATCAAGCTGGTCTCAAACTCGTGAGCTCAAGCAATCCTTCTGCCTTGGCCTCCCTGAATCCTGGGATTATAGGCAAGAGCCATCGTGCACCATTTTTTCTTCCTTTTTTTTCACTTTGTTGCCTTTGGTAGAGTGCCATGGCATCATTGCTCACAGCAACCTCAAACTTTGTGCTCAAGAGATCTTCTTGCCTCAGCCACCTTAGTGGCTGGGACTACAGGCGCTTGCCACAACGCCTAGCTATATTTTAGAGACTGGGCAGTGCTCCTGCTCAGGCTGGTCTCAAAACTCCTGAGCTCAAGGAATCTACCTACCTCGGCCTTCCATAGTGCTATGATTATAGGCATGAGCCGCTGCGCCCAGCTTTTGCATCCCAGTTCCTGAATTCAAGGAGGAGTTTGTTTGACACCCTCTTGGTGCCTAGCAGAGGCCCTCACACAGGCATGGTGTGTCACTGGCAAGCCATAGAGCCTTACAATGTTACTTTACTAAAGTCCCAAACTTACTAGGCATTAAATATGCAGAGAAAGAAAGTGAGCAGGGAACTGAAACCAAGGAGGATGGGTACACATCTTCTCAGTGTTTGAGAAACCAGCACTATAGGCAGGAGCCAAACACCTGGGTAGTTTTTCTATTTTTAGAAAGGGCCTCTTGCTCAGGCTGGTCTCAAACTCCTGAGCTCAGATGATCCACCTGTCTCTGCCTCCCAGAGTGCTAGGATTACAAGTGTGAGCCACACTGTGCCTGGCAGATGAGGGAACTTCTATTTTAGCAAGAGATGATTAAAGCACATTTGTCAGGGCCCACCTGGTTGCGACCATTACAACCAGAGCGACAAAGGGCAGCAAGCACCCAGGGTTAAGCAGCATGGACAGCTTACTGTGAATGGTGGAGGCATGCGGGCCTCTGCCTCACTTCCTTTGTCACCTGCTGATTCTTCTGTCTGCAGATAACAGGAAAAACTTGCAGAGATTAAACGAAACTGATCTCCCTGAACTAACACCCTCCAAACAAACAGACTATTAACACCCAGAATAATAGTACCAGCTGGCACCAAGCTCCTGTGGCAGCCAGAGAGAGGATGGGGTGGAGGAATGCAAGGAGCAGGGGTAGGGGAGGGAGAAGCTGCACATTGCACCCAACTGCCCACTCCTTTCCTGTGGGTAAGTAAAATCTGGAGCAGGCTGCTGCTGTGTTAATACAGAGAGGGTGGCCGAGGGGTGGAGAGTGAACCCACAATCTCCTCCTCCTGGATCCTGGCTGGACAATGATGAGGAGGGGCTTTATTTACCTTGTAGTTCAGAGGGCTGAGGTGCTTGAAGCATCCAAAGCAGGTGTAAGCCACGCAGACCAGGATGGTGAGCAGCACCACCAGGAAGGTGAACAGGGTAGATGGGGCCTTCATACCTGGGGACAGATGGATGCTAGCCTTGGCAGGGGAGCCGAGGAAAGGGACCACACCTAGTGCAAGAACTGTGTGCGACACCTCCCTCAGGCAGAAAATAAAGGCATCTTAACCTGCCATCTCCCCTCCACTCCAGCAGCTGGGATGGTATCTTCAAACCAAGGACACACACAGTGACCCTCCTGAATGGCCAGCATTATCCCTGGGCAGATTGCAGGTCCTAAGACACCAAGTCAATGGCAATCTGCCGGTGTTCATGGGCTTCCCTGAACTAGGCAGGATGGTGGCTCCCCCAGTCTGACTGGCGCAGAGTCACATATGTCTTTTCCCAAGAGTGTCAGTTTCCCCTTCTGCCTGTCCCCACCACCTTCACACTGTGAGGGATGAGGACCTGGGCCATCCATCACTCCTAAGTGAATCAGTTTTCCCTTCTCTAGTTTGGTCCCTGAGCTGATAATGGGACCATTTTCACTCTAGTGATCGGCTGGCCCTCCTAGCTCAGGGACTGGGCGGAGCTCCTGAGCTAGGAGGTACACTACACCCAATTGGCTTCACTCTGGGGCACCAGCTTCTGATTGGATGCTAAGTTGATGCTATTAAAGCAGGGAGGGATCTGACTGGCTGGTGTGGACACAGGATTGTTAATACTAGGGTTGGCCCCCCGGGGTCAGAAGGGCCCCTCACCCAGGCGCAGGAAGGAGAAGAAATAGAGCCAGAAGAGGCATAGGATGGGAGCAGCCAAGGCCTGGTTCACGGCGGCGAAGTGGATCCTCTTCTGCAGCTTGGCAGGGAGGTAGACGAAAAACAGGTTGTGCCGATCCACCAGGTGCTTGAGCAGGATGTAGATGAGGCCTGCGGAGGGTGGGGCTGTGAGCTGCAGACCCCTCCTCTCAGGGCTGGCTCTTTTAGCCTGGGGCTTAGGGCTGCTACTCTGCCACTGGAACCAGAAATGAGGCAAAGCGCACATCCTGGCTGCTGTGTCTTTCTTTCCTCTTCTTGCCAAACTTCTCCCTCCTCCCCCTAACTCTTTTCTTCTTTCTGACCCCAAGAGAGTAGCAGTGTCTGTGATTCTGACGCTATGGAGCACTGAAATTCTAGGATCCCTTGGAAAAGGCTGTTTCACACTCACAGTCTGGCTTCAATTCTCCACAACTCTTCCCACACCGAGCCCCCTCCCCCACAGGACTCCACACCCTCCTTTCTTTCAACCAGACTCACTCCCGTCCTCATCTCAGTTGACACAAGCCCAAGGGTCTTATTCCAGGGGTGGCACAGAAGGTAAGTGTTGCCTTTCTATCATGCCAAGTTCTTTTTTAAAAATACATTTTTGTGGGTGGCACCTGTGGCCAAGGAGTAGGGTGCTGGCCCCATATGCCAGAGGTGATGGGTTCAAACCTAGCCCTGGCCAAAAAAAAAAAATACATGTTTGTTGGCGGCACCCATAGCTCAGTGGGTAGGGTGCCGCCACATACACCAAGGCTGGTGGGTTTGAACCTGGCCTGGGCCAGCTAAACAACAGTGACAACCTCAACTAAAAAATAGCTGGGTGTTGTGGCAGGCACCCGTTGTCCCAGTTACTTAGGAGGCTGAGGCAAGAGAATCACTTAAGTCTAAGAGTTTGAGGTTGCTGTGAGCTGTGATATCACAGCACTCTACTAAGGGCAACACAGTGAAACTCTTGTCTCAAAAAAAAAATACATTTTTGTTTTGTGGTTTTGGGCTGGGGCTGGGTTTGAACCTGCCACCTCTGGCATATGGGGCCAGTGCCCTACTCCTTTGAGCCACAGGCACTGCCTACATTTTTGTTTTGAAAGTGTTAATACTATAGTTTATTTTTTTAATGTGCAAGAGAATATACAGGGAAAATTAAACTTTTTCCTCCTAAACCTCAGCTATCACTTCCAACAGTCTCTTGGCTGTCTGTTTTCTTCTAGACTCTTCCTTTCTTCTGCCTTTGGCCTTTTTAAAGTCAAACAGTCCTAAATTCAAATCCTAACAACATTCATCTGTAAAAGGGGGATTAGAAACAGAACTTCCCTTGAGGGCTAGATGAGAATTAAATGTGATATTCCAGGTGGAGACAAAGCCTGGCCAGAGCAAGAACACCGTGACAGCTTTGACTATTCCTACAACACTCTTACCTGCTGCTAAAGAATCAGTAAGAATGGTGTGGTCAAGCTGGCAGAGAACCTCACACCACAAGTCCTGAGGAAGGCCATGCTGGGAGGCCACTACAAGGAATTCATTTAGCAACAAATAAAATGTGGTGTCACGTGTGGTTCCTTGGCAGCTTGTGGTTCTTGTGGCTACTGTTTGGGTGCTCCATAAAGCCCTGGTGATGGCTATCTCTAGGAGGTGGGTGGAATCAGCTGTCTACGCACATACTCTGGGCCAGGCTTCAGGGCCACTCACCGAATGGGGCAATGATGGGGCAGGTGATGCTGTAGGCCATGATGACAGTGAAGACGCACAGTGTCCAGGCATACATGGCTCCAAACTCGTACTCAAAGGCCTGGTTCTGGGTGGAGGAGGTGGTGAGGCATTCATGGGCTTCATCTGCCCAAATGCCTCTTCTGCACTCCAAGTGGTGAGGGGACGGTGGCCTGGAGGAGGACCTGGGAACTAGGAGGCACCCAGCACCTTCCAAGTTCCTTCCATTTGCTCCCAGCCTAGTTCAGTTTCACTCTGTGCACAGCCCAACGTCCCCAAGCACCATAGTGTCCACTAGTTGCAGTCCTGTCTACCCAGCAGGACTGTGAATCCCGGGGGTGGGAGGCAAAGATGGTTTGAGGACAGAGTGCAGAGAGACTCCCCCCAGGCTCTGCCATCAGACTGAGCATTAGCTCTGTCCCTCTGGCTGTGGGTCCTGGGCTAGCTTAGCATACACATCTGTAAAACAGGGAGGTAGCACCTATTTCAGGAGGGACCTGAGATTTTTTTTTTTTTTTGAGACAGAGTCTCACTATGTTGCACTCAGTAGAGTGCTGTGGCGTCACAGTTCACAGCAACCTCAAACTCTTGGGCTTAAGCGATTCTCTTGCCTCAGCCTCCCAAGTAGCTGCGACTACAGAGCCTGCCACAACACCTGGCTATTTTTTTGTTGTCGTGTCATTGTTGTTCAGCAGGCCTGGGCCAGGTTTGAACCCACCAGCCCCGGTGTATATGGCCAGCACCATAACTACTGAGCTACAGGGACCAGGCCGGGACCTGAGAATTAAATAAAGGGATGCAGTGCTTCTCCCATTTTCCTCTCACAGGACCCACAGGGCAGAGGAGAACAAAAGAGAACCCCACAACATCCAGCTCAGAGAATCTTAGAATAAATGCCTCAAGCCCAAAATACCTTTGACATCTGAAGTATTCCTAAGAATTTATGATAAACAGATGTCCACAAGAAGGGGGTCTTCAGCCTTTAGTTGTATGTATATGTGAGTGCGACCAAGCTAGCTAAAGTGCAAAACTCCCAAGCCCTCTCCCAGCCTGCAAGTTACAGTGGAGGCTGCAGGAAGCCATGGCCGCCTGGGCCCAGGTTTGAGAAATATTTGGCACAGTGCCTGGTAAAATGCTGAGTTTCGGGGTGTGTGAGGGGCCCGTGGGTGGGGGGAGGAAGTTAGAAGCACAGCCCTGCACCCGGTGGGTGGCACCTGCTTGATGTTCCTGCGGTCAGCAGCTGTCTTAGCCATGATCATGCGAAACGTGTAGAGGATGAGGCCTGGCAGCCGCAGCAGCTCCATGCCATTACCAATGAAGGCCGAGGCAATGACGTAGTTCACAAAGAAGGCACCCTGGTCGGGCAGAAAGACGCACCTGGGGGGATGGGGTGGGGTATGTGAGTGACAGCCACTCTCAAGGGAGAGCGAGGGGCCCTGGGTGGGGCAGGTGTGGAAAGGCCCCGGGAGGAGGGCTTCCTGCCTGTCCCTCCACCCAGCACACATCTGCAGAGCACGTCTGTGTGCCAGGAGCTGTCTAGACCCTGAAAATGAAACAAAGCCCTGTCCCTGCTGTGGAGTTCACATTCTAGCTGGGGACACAAACAGACACATACGCAATCTCCCAGGTTCTGAATGCTCCAGGGGAAAATGAAGCAAGGGGGTGGTATGCTGTGTTACAGGGGCTCAGGGAAGCTTTCCCAGGAAGGGGTGCAGAAATGGGAGCAGGGGAAGGAGTGAGTTACTCAGAAATGGGAGAGTGTATTCCAGGCAGAGGGAACAACAGATTATAGCTCTGAAGAGGGGTATGTGCCATATCCAGGGACCAGCAGAAGGGTAAGGGATTCTGGACAGCAATAGGCTGTGTAGAGAGAGAATATGAGGCTGAGGGGCTGGGCGCTGGCCAGTGCAGGAAAGCCACACTGACTATGGGGTAAGGGAGTGGAGGTCAGGAGACCATGCTGACATAAGCCACTCCCGGGGGGAGGGGGAGTGCAGTGGAGGTGGTGAGATAAGGCCTAATTTTGGATCTGCCTTGAGGTAGAGCTGTCAGGTGTTACTGGTAGTCTGGATGAGCATGCAAGGGAGGAAAGAAAGGTGAACTTTGAGATTTTATGCCACAGCAGCTGTGAAAATATGGAATGGGAAAAGTTGTCAGAGTAGTAGATCTGGGGATAAAAGTCAGGAGTTTGGTTTGGGGCAGCTAAGGTCTGTGATGCTGAGCACTCCAAAGGAAGTTGAGGCAGCCAAGCAGATAGAAGGGCCACCTGAAGGTGCAGGTTAGAGGTATAAATGTGGATGTTGTCTGCACATTTTAATTCAGTAGTCACTGAGTGGCTCTGAAGCCATGGGTCCAGCTGAGGTCCCCTGGAGAAGGAATGTGGCTCTTCTGAGTCATAGGCTGAGACATAGGCTGAGTCCTCAGTCCAAATCTAGGGCTGGACAGATGTGAAAAAACCTCCCAGGGAGACTAAAGAGACACCATGGGATGAGCGAGCCCAGAGCAGAGCATCAGAGCCCCAGAGCTGAGTTTGGTCCAGTGTGTCAGGTGTGGCTGGCAGATCACAGACAATGAGGGCTGAGCGCCTGCCATTGGATTTGCCAACCTAGATGTCACTGGCAACCTAGACATAAGCTGGCTGGGCACACGTCTGTATCTGTTGTGGTTGCCAGCTCCCAAGTCATCAGCTTACCCAGCAGGAACTCATTTAAAAATAATTCACTGCATCCTTACAGACAGGCACAGGCAGACTTTTCTATAAACATTCCTTTAGAAAATCAATCCTCGGCCTTTGGGCCTCCAATAAGACCTAACAGCTGGTGTGGTGGCTCACAGCTTTAATTCCAACACTTTGAAAGGAAAAGGTTAGAAGGATCACTTGAAGCCAGGAGTTCAAGACCAGCCTGACTGAGCAGGAGTGAGATCCTCTCTCTACAAAATGGTCTGGGGGCAGTGGCTCATGCCTATAATCCTAGCACTCTGAGAGGCTGAGGTAGGAGGATCCCTTGAGCTCAGGAGTTCAAGACCAACCTGAGCAAGAGTGAAAGTCCATCTCTACTAAAAGCAGAAAAATTAGCCTAGCCAGTGTTGTGGTGGGCACCCATAGTCCCAGCTCCTCAGGAGGCTGAGACAGAAGGATCACTTGAGCCCAGGAGTTTGAGGTTCTGTGAGCTAGGCTGAGGCCACAGCACTCTTTCTTGGGCAACAGAGTGGGACTCTGACTCAAAAAAAAAAAAAAAGAAAAAGAAAAAGAAATAAAAAGAAGGGCAGGGTATATAGCTCAGTGGGTAGGGCGTTAGTCACATACACGGAGGCTGGCAGGTTTGAACCGGGCTGGGCCAGCTAAAACAACAATGACAACTGCAACAACAAAAAAAATAGCTGAGTGTTTTGGCAGGTGCCTGTAGTTCCAGCTACTTGGGAGGCTGAGGCAATAGAATCGCTTAAGTGCAAGAGTTTGAGGTTGCTGTGAGCTATGACGCCACAGCACTCTACCCAGGGCCACAGCTTGAGACTCTCTCTCAAAAACAAAACAAAACAAAAAACAGGGCAGCACCTGTGGCTCAAGGAGTAGGGCGCCAGCCCCATATATCGAGGGTGGTGGGTTCAAGCCCAGTCCCAGTCAAAACTGCAAAAAAAAAAAAAATTAGCTGGCAATATGGTGTGCATCTATAGTCCCAGCTACTCAGAAGTCTGAAGCAGGAGAATCACTTGAGCCCTGGTGTTAGAGGTTACCTTAAACTATGACACCACTGCACTCTAGCCAGGGTGACAGAGCAAGACCTTGTCCCTCCACCCCCTGCAAAAAAAACAAGCCCTAATGTACAGTGCAATGGGGGGTGAGGGTGAATCTCAGCCCTGTTTCTTAACTGCTAGGTAACCTTTGGCAAGTTATTCACCATGTCTAAGCCTCAGCCTCCTTATCTGTAAAATGGAGATAATTATAGTATCTACCTCATAATTTGTTGTGAAGGTTAAATGATAAAAAGATGAATAAAGCATTTAACATGGTCTCTTCTAAAATGATAACAATTGATATTAAGTGGGTATGATATTAGCTTACAATATTACTAACAAGGACACATCACCAGTGTTAATTCCATTCTCCTGGCAAAAATAATCCCCAGACCAAACAGTCAGTCTGGTTGTCATGTTTAATTACTATCTGCCTTCCCCTCTCTCTGGCACCCCTGAGACCCAGCAACATTCTCCCTGAGCAGCTATGTACTCAGTAAGTTTCAAAGAATGAATGAGACTGCCACTGTTTGAGTTTTGGCTTAAAGAACCCCATTTCTGCAACCACAGCACCAACTGGGGTAGCTCCCACGGTGTCTACTGGGAACCTGGGAGGGCTGGTGGCCCTGCCCTGGGTCCTGCTGACTGGGGGAGCGAAACACCTGTTAGGAAGAACAGAGTACTGCACCCCCCAATGCCCGCCCGCCTCAACTGCAGCCCAGCCCCAGCCCTGAGGGACTCTCATCCAGGACCACAGCTCCAGAACCCAACATGGTTGATACTTACTCCAACCTGACAGAGGCATCCATGGAAGTTTTGTCAAAGAGCCACCGGAAGAAAAAATCCAGACTGAAAAAGAAATGAATTCTCTAAGAGTTTATTTAGAACACTCCATGTCATCACTATACGCATTTTCATTTTTTTCTACTCTAAAAATGGGCTGATTCTTGAGACTTACATTTGTTCTCCACAATGCCAGACACCACAATGTCACCTATTGGGGCCTGGTTTTTATGTTGAGACAGAGTCTCAACTGGTCACCCTTGGTAGAGTGCTGTGGCATCTTAGCTCACAGCAAATCTCAAACTCTTGGGCTCAAGTGATTCTCTTGCCTCA